TCCGTTTTCCTCTGCTTCTCTTGCTTTCAATACTGAGTGACAAATTTTCCAAACCCTCTTTCCTCATTATATGCATTAGAAATACGCCATCAGTTATGATAAATCCTTATTAAAAGCTGTTCTGTTGATAAAACTCGTATTTGAAATCTTCAATCAAATTAAATATTGGCAGGATAAAAATATTAGCTCAATTACAGTCAGAAAAATTGGATTAAATTCTTTCAATTCATATCAAGGGGTTTGGAATTTTTTTCTTTTTAACAATATTTACAGTGGACAGTTAAAATTAGGTAACTCCACTAATTCATGATACATAAGGGTTAAAATGAATTTTAAAAATTAAAAAGCTTTCTTGAAGTTTTCATTTTAACTTTAATTGACATTTTCTATTTCCAGTTAGCAAAATACTCTGTAGTGTATTTCAAACGGAAATTCTAATGATTGGAGTAGATTTTTTTTTTTTTTTTTTTTAGGAATGGTTGATTATTTCCCTTTTTTAGCCACCTGTCATCGCAATGAATTTTTCTTTATTAAAATATCTTCCAAAAAATAAAATATACTTTTCTATAATTTTATTTGTGGAATATTAGCTGATTTAACGTATAATTAATCAGATTTGAAAAAAATATTATTTACTCTAAGTTGAAAATAACAGCAAAATCGATTTTTTAAAACAAACATTAGTGCGATTAAGTGCTTGTCAACACCTCGTAAATTCTAATGATTTACTTTGACGAGTGATTTAAAAGGTGATGTCACTTTTATTATTATTCTACAGAGACCTTATCTGTTAAAACACAATTTGAGAAAATGACAAGTAAACATTTTTTTAATTTAATTTTTTAGTACTCAGTAATCTTTAAAATGTCGGAAATATTCTCCGTATTCTAATTTTAGGAATGTTGACTTTAAATTTACTATCATGATCGATCTTATTTTCTGATAATCTCGTGTATGGTCACCCATACTTACAAAATCGGCATGTTTATACACATAAAAAAATTAAAAACAATAAATCTATGAGTGCTATGATTTCTATTAAGCTTTTCAATTTTCGCTTAGTAAATATAGTTTTCACTTAATAGCCCAACGAAGAAGTTTGGAAGGAATTTTAAAATATTTTTGAAAATTTATAAATTATTATAATTAAAAAAAATGAAAAAATTCTTGTAAAAATTCTTCTTGGACTATAATGTCTTTCAGTCAGTCAGTTATGTGCCATGCGTGATACACGCTTAGGCAAGCGTGTATCTTTCGATACATGACTGACGAGGCAGTTTTTTTCCAGCAGTAGGTTGCTTTCTGCGGTAGACCATCCAAGACTATAGAACCTGGTCTGCCCTGCTATTTACCCATATACTGGGGTGAAAAAAAGTGGATTCATATATTTCCCAAGGGTATTAGCACGTTAGTGAATATAAAGGATCTGACTGGATTTCGAACACGGCTCTCCAAATCTAAACCGCTATCCATTACTTCACTGTGCCTCCCATAATGTCCTTAATATATTATTTAGTTAATGTCTCTGTATGAAAGCGAAGAAAAGGGTTGAAAAAATAGTTCACTCAAATAAAAGCCACAAAAGAAATATTTTTTAAATAGATAAAATTTTAATTGCTTTTATAAATAATGTCCTTAATGTACACTATTTACATTATTCAGACTACTGTCTTCATTTTTGTCGCCATGCTTCGGTCTTCTTCAGGCGGTTGGAATATCGAAATGAACCCATATTTCGCTCACTGGGGTATACTAGTTCCACGTGCCATGTCTACCAGATGTCAGTTATCTCCTGTTAATTCCCTCTCAAAGCTCTCCACGGCCTTAACAAGGTATTGAACTCACACTCTTTGAGTCCTCGGCTTTTGGCAGCGGTAAAAATGGCAGCGGTAAAAATGGCAACGGTAAAAATGGCAACGGTAAAAATGGCAAAAGTGGATAAATAGGTAAAAATGGCAATTCGACAACAGAAAATTATGACCGTTCAAGTCCCCCCCCCTCAATATTTTAAAATAAATATTTTTAAATAGATATTTACTCCAATGGTGGTGGTGGTGGGGGGAGCTAGGCTCCTTCTCCTCTTGTTTTAAATAGGGTCTAAGTTCCCGCTCCCACTATTAAAAACATTTTTTTTAATTTTCGATGTCGAATTTCAAAAGTTTTATTAGAGAGGGCGCTAGGTTCCTACTCCTAATTGCAGTAAAAGCACAAATCGTAGGTGAATTTGATGATTATAATTAATTTTATAATTGATAGCTGACATTAGGATTAGAAGTGTATATATATATATATATATATATATATATATATATATATATATATATATATATTTAGTGTTTATATATATATATATATATATATATATATATATAAAATAAGTGTCTTAATGTATATATATATATAAAATAAGTGTGTATATATATATATATATAAAATGTATTAGTGTGTATGTATATATATATATATATATATATATATATATTTATATATATATAAAATAAGTGTATTAGTGCATATATATATATATATATATATATATATATATATATATATATATTAGTGTTGGGACGATTAATCGGAATCGGGGAATCGGAAAAATCGCAAAGGCGAAGGTTAGGAATCCCATTCAAATTAAACGTTTTTTTTTTTAATTGGAATGTTTTTTCTTACAAATAATCAAATAAAACTCTTTTATAATGGGAATGTTTTCTTTGAAAATATTTTTTAAATAGTTTATTTATTATTTTTTATAATTGGAATGTTTTCTTCTTGTGTGAATAGTTTATATTGTAAATTTCTTTGAAAACATTTTAAAATACTTTATTCTATTTTTTTTAATAATCTAATAGTTTTTTTTATAAATAGAAATGTAACAAAATTTAAATATATTAAACGTCAAAGTAATAATGTATCCAATATATTGTTTTTAATTCGACTGCATTACTGATTCCCACGTGTTCAAACTAGTGAAATTAAAAAAAAATGTACAAAACTGACGAGGAACTGTTTTCCGATAAACACCGCTTAATGTCGGTTTCTGATTCCAATACCGGAAGCCGTCATCAAGTAGACCTATAATTGTTTTTTCCCAAGTTTTTCAGTGTGTTCAGACGTAATCGCCTAAAAAGTAAAATCTCATGGGAGGCGGGGGAGCTTTAGCTGAATATTCTTTTTAATTTGACAAACTTCTCGTGTTTTTCCATTATGTATTTTAATAAACTCGTTGTGAGATATTCATCTATATGTTTTTCCTTTTGCCATTTTTCTTATTTATCCACTTCTGCCATTTTTACCGTTGCCATTTTTACCTATTTATCCACTTTTGCCATTCTTAGCGTTGCCATTTTTACCGTTGCCATTTTTACCCTACCATTTTTTACCGCTGCCATTTTTACCTAAATTCAAGTCAGTTAAGTGCCATACGTGATACCATTATTTGAGAGAACTATTTTTCCAACCATTCTCTTCTTTCATGGAAACCAGAGACTTTAACTTTTTTTGTTGATGGGACAAAATACAACCTTTAATTTTTCAACCTTTTCTTACCTCCATGAATTCGCTGAAAAAAAGAGCACAGCATGATGAAAAAATGCCCCTTAATAAAAACAAAGATTTATCGTTAAAAGATTTTGCCACAAAAAGAATATTTTTTCTTTAAATCATTTCATCCCAGGCGGAAATACCACTAGTACACGGGGGGGGGGGGGGGTTACAGGGTGTGAAAGTGAAAGTGAAAAAGAAGACTGAGTATAGGGAGGATTGAGGAAAGGACAAAAGATGAATGGGATTCAAGAAGACGCAAGATTGACGTTGCATTTAAGTTTTTGATATGTTAGTTTTACCTAGACATAATTACGTATAATTTCAGTCAAGGAGGAAAATGTCCTGGGTAGGACGATAAACTACATCCACGTCCTCGGTAAGACGATAAATTACATCCAGCAGCAAGGCCTCTGATCAAGAGGTTTCAGAAGCGTGGAACGACCTCTTAAA